GCAGGAGCGGTTTCTGGGTTGCATCCTCAGAAAATTCTTGAGTTTGATACAAAAAGTACAGATTCTAACAGTTGGGCTGTTTTTTAAAAATGTTGTCATCATTCATTGGATGTAAACAGAGGACGGTTTACAGAGGAACCCTGCCTAAATTCCTTTAACTTAGAGCCTTTCAATCACAACCTTAACATTCCAGTGAAAGTGCTTTAATTTTAAAAGGTGGTATCTTCAATAGTGTCCGATAATAATTCCTTTTTCTGCAAAATTATATAGGTGTTGATAAAAGCAATCAAAAGAAGAGAACTCCTTTCACAGTAAAAGATGGAAAGCCAGTTCTTTACAGAGCTGGTGGGTCTTGGCCTACTGAAAAGGTGTGTGTTCCTAAAACAGTTTGAAGGATAATATCCTATGGTCATTTCACTTACGTTATTATTATTGACTATTTTAAGTTCCTTCAGTTCACCAGTTTGGGTTAGAAAATAACCCATTTCACCAAAAAATTAAACAAAGTAAGGTAGGAGAAAGAGCAGAGAGGAAAAAAATAGTACAAGGAGAGATAAGTAAAAAGGTCAAATGAATATCAGGTTATTGATTTAAGAGATTTCATCTCTTCTTGCTGGTGCTTTGTGTGAGTGTATGACACGCTTGTTCCTCCAGTGACATCTTTTCAAATACATCATCAGAGTTACTTTAGAATTTTTGTTCTTGTAAACAACATGTAATTAAATACAGAAGGCCCAAGGTTGGATATGAGTCTTAGCCCAAATATTCGCTAAATTTTCCTTAAATTTGTATGTTAGGGCTTTTCATCTGCTAAATAGTCCTGTACAATAATATGCATGGCATGATAAAATGTCCTGAAAGGACAACTTCTTTGGCAAAGTCCATAACCCCCTGGTGATGGGGGCACCTTTTGGGGGAGTGCCGCAGTCTGCCCCAGGGGACCTAATTCGGCAGGAATGGTTCTCTCTGAGCACGGTGTAACCTTTCCAACCTGTACACTTAGGTTTCCTTTTCACAAAAACTACAGCGAAGGGAAAAGGAGAGCTTGTGTGCGCCTGTGTGCTGTCGGGAGTGAGGACGCGGACACATCCAGACGTAGGCACGGGTTCCAGCATCCGGCCTTATGGCCAAAGCTCATCGTTCTTTGCAGTGAGCGGTCTGCGCCAGACTAAAATTGAGAGTTCACAGCATTTTTTCTCTTAGCAGCGACAAAAATTTAGGGTCCTCTCAGCTAGGTTGTCTACTCTTTTTTTGGCTACTCCTAGGAATATGAAGGTTTCCAAGTCAAAAATAAACAGCAGACAACCTGTACTCAAATGAGTAACACAAAAAATAAGCTCAAAACTACGTGTTGTATGTCTCAAGTCTTGCTATAAGTCTTTCTAGGCTCTTTTTGACGACGTAACTTCTTGCCGTATTTAGTAAGTAGTGTTGCAGGGTATAATCTTTTGCTGATGGGAGTGTCCTACTACTTTGTCTCTGGTTTCTTTTATCCTATAAACAATCTGAACAACTTAAAACACATGAAAGCATTTTATTTTTTGTTACTTTATATACCTTCTATTTCGAAAGTAAAATCATGAGCCCTTTTATTTGTATCTTAAATACATACATAATAAAAGGGAATGGTTGCAATTCTTCTGCCTTTTGGACTTGCTCCGGAAGAAAGGAAAAGTCCATTTGTATTCACGGTGCTTACTCCGTACCAACTAAGGACCAGCTCCAATTACGTTGATATATTCAGAGCACCTTCCCTTCATCTGCACTGCAATTCTTTTCACACCATTTAGGACCAAAATCTGAATTAAGCACATGTGTAAGTCTCTGTCTAACTTTACCTGCAGGGGCTCTCCCATTGAGATGAGTGGAACACTTTACGGTAGCAAAGGTAAACGCATGCATGCATCTCTGCAGTGTGTGGGCATAAGAACCGAGATTAGTTATGAAGTTATACGCCAAGGTATTATTTAGTCACTGTGTTTGACGCCTGGTGCTATGCAAAAATAGAAGCGCCTTTCTGAGTTTGAAGCCTAATGAATGTACCTGTCCAAAAAAAAATCCTGTAGGTGCGTAACAAAAAATCTCAAAAGAATTTGAAGCTACGTGAAAGGAGCACACTTTCATTGAGAAAGAAAACTCAAGACTGTAAAGCAGGTGATCTCAGTCTTTGGAAGAGGGAGACAGCTTACAGGAGAAAAAGATACTTGTTTTTTTAGTTCTGACGTGGGTCTTGCTTTTGCAAAATGTAAGTCCACTTGTCTTTCCTTTTGTATTATTCACCTTGGCATAGATTTTCATAGAATTTTGACTTTTTTCATCTAGATATGGGTTTTAAGGCCAAGGTCTTTGTTTAGAACACTGTCTCTCCGCAGAAAGCTACTGATTTTACGGGGCCTTTTAGAAACACAGCAGCCTGAACAGCTTGCTTTCTTTCCACAGCTTGTCCTTCAGGGGATGGTGAAAATAAATTTGGAACCATATCCACCTTTAAATGGACTGCTAGACTTTGCTATAAACTATCATTTTTCTTCCTGTCTGTACACTACAGCTACTACAGTCTGCTACTAAAGAAACGTAGAATTTTAGTATGAAAACAAACGAGTGAAAGCCAGAGCACTTGCAGGGTTCTACCACGTTTGGTGGCCAGGTAGCAGAGCCGAGATCTGTATGCAGTGATTTCCGTGGGGTCATTTACTGGTAAGCAACCAGCACTAGCCAAGTTTTTGTGGAGTTGCGCTCATGACTGACTTGCCTCCGAGACTTTCCCTTTAAATAGCTCAAAACACCGATGGTTTTCTCTAGGTGACAAATAATAGCGTTTAACCTGAAAGATAAGCTCATTTGTGAATATGCTGAGGGATGAGATTGAGTTTATAGATGTCCTTCGTGTCGATGCCTTGCCTCAGGAGCCTTTCCATTGAACTGTTGCTGGTGGTGATGCACAGAGACGGGGCTGGCGCGGAGCTGGCGCTGAGCTCTCCACGGTGCCTCCAGGACACTGGTGGCAGGACCCCAGCCACCCTCCGCTTTGAGTGGTTTACTAAAAGCTCGTACCCAGCGCTTTGTGGAGGTGTTCGAACCCGAGATGGGAAGCTGGCCATAATGCTGGTTTCACTCCCTAATTAGCTTGCCATTACATAGCTCCTCTCCTTACGCAAACCGAGTAAGCTGATGACACAACCAGTGCGGCATGTCGAAGGCTGCCCTAATGCCTCTTTTTTCCGTATCATCTCAGGCTTCAGTGCTCCGTGCCTGTACGAATGCCGTCAGGGACGGGGCTGGAGCCTGCGAAGAGCAGAAAAGGGTCCCTTCCTCTCCCTTTTCCACCCTATGACCACGTCTAAGGCAGGCCAGTACCACAGCAGAGGAGCAAAGGGATTTTTATCTCTCTATCCGTTGTGAAGCTCCACGACTGAGATCACAGCAGGACAGAGGAGGAATTCTATTTTCCCCGTGTGTAAAACAGGGATAATACTTCTGTATTTGACAGCAGCGTTTTGGTAAGCGATCGCTGATGAGAGAAGCAACACAGTGGTCGTCATGTACGCTCACGAAGTGTACCTCTAGCTGTCTGGGTTCTGGTTTGCAGAACGCCTCTCCAAACCACTTCTGACAGGCAGCGATTCTTAGCTCCATCACAGCCTCAAACAGGGAGCCTCAGGCTGGCAAAGCAACGGCCTTTCATTAAGCAACGCTGATAGGTCAGGGACATTCAGCTAACCTCAGTGTTTACTCTTAACATTTGGAAACGCGGTTATTGTGTTCCTGCCAAAACTTTAACATTCCGGTAATAAAGACCTTCTTTTTGTGACAGAGAGAGACTGGGAAAGCACACTCCCATTTTGCAGTGTGTTGTCTTAACTCTGTTAATGCCACTGAAGTCTACAGACCTTTATAGCTGCCAAGAGGTTTTTGTTTCTGTGGATATTAGTTACAAAGGCAGTACAAATGTGTCCTTCCTTAATAACGATTGTACAGCCACGCTTCAAGCTTATTGACTCAAAGCAGCAGAATGGTTAGAGACACCAGGGTATAACGGATCTCCACATCTCACCTGCAATGAAGTCTTCACATCTATTTCCAAATAGTTTACAAAGGGGTTTAAAGACTATTTAAATAGTAACTACATGCGCACTGTAAACTATATAGACTGCCATAGTTTCCTGTGTTTCAGTTGGGAAGATAACTGGTATTTTGTTCACAGCCTTCAGCAGTTAAAGCAGAGAAGACAGCTAAGAATGAGGTTCCTGCAAATGCTGAAGATGACTTACAGTTTTTCACACTTCACCACTTTCACAGAGGTGAAACAGTTGCTACTGAAATAAGGCTACAAAGCATTATAGCTGCCTCCTCTTAACTAACCCATTCAGAGCTGAACGAATCATTACCACATCACCAGTAGCCTGCAGTAGGCGCATCCGGATATTTTCTGGAAGATTTCTGTGGCTCATTCTACAGGCTGTATTATCATCATTAGAGAAAAGGCTATCCCTGCAGCTCCTTCAACCTGCTCAGCAATTCAGCTTAGAACGACAGCAGGAAAAAGTCACGTACACGTGATGAAAACCTCTTTACCTTCTATTATGCACTAGTCTGCATTCAGTATGACTACCTGACGGCAGAGTACCGACACTGATGCTAAACTGAGCTGACACATGAATGAACCATCCATTTTCTTTTGGAGTACACAACTTTGAAGATTTAATTTATTCCATGAATCACTTAAATTCAGATATTTCCCTTGACAGTAATGGCATTTGTTGACATTAGTAATACTTAAAAGTTGGGGGGGCGGGGGGAGGTGTTGGTTTGTTTGTTTTTAAACATTCGCTTTTCATTCTAATATTTTCAGTTTTAAATTGAAAAAATTGCCTATTCCTCCAGCATTAGTTTTTTGGATGCTGTCCTGGTAAAGATAAAGGATTAGAGACCTTTTTTTAAGAGTGAGGTGCCCCCATATTAAAATACAATGGAAAAAAAGGAAACACATTATTATAAAATCATGGAAAAACAAAAAAAAAAAAAGAAAGTTTATTTCCAGATATACAAAACACCTATTCTCTCATTTCTCCATCTTCTTCCTCTTCTTCCACACCTCTGATGTACAAAACATTATTGCACCTGTAAATAGAAACAAAGAGTTCCTTTAACTGTAAGTGTTTTAATTTTGCACACCTTACGTACACTGCTTTAACTATTTGCCTGCTTGAGCATAGCCTGGCAACAGCCAAATTTGACATTACAATTTGCTGCTCTTGACCTAGTACAGCTTTCCACAAAGTTCGTAACAACTGCAAAAACCCCAAGTTTGTAAAAGCAGTAACTGGTTGACAATGCTGTACGAGAAATTTTTACTCTTGGGTTAACGGTTGTGGCCAAGTACAAATGCCTGAGTATGCACAACGTTTTCAGTCGCAATACACTCATACGCTCTACTGATGCCAAGGGATTAGCAGATCTACAATAATCTGGAAAACTAAGGTATTTGGTTACCTGAAATAGGGATCGTAAATACTTCTTTACAGGTATTTCAAAATTAACTTCCCCCCTGCAGAAGGGATGTCATAGCCTTCACGTAAGAGTTACATCAACACTTAGCATCTTAGACAAGAAACACAGCACCTAGCCATAGAGGTTTTAATGCAAGTGATGATAAGATTTAAAGAAACCCTGCCTCTGCCATAAACGTCCTAATTACCTTATCAGAACTTCACCCAGGTGTCCAGACAACGCACCGTCTATATACTCCTCTGTGTTTGCAAGCTTGAGAAGAAAACCAGCAGAACTTGGAATGATTATAACCGAAGAAGCTTCGCAAAGCACGTCGCGGTTTCGCCCCGCGGCCCACCGCCCGGCTACAGCCACCGGGGGAGGCCGACCGACCCCGCTCCCCCACGACACGGCGCCCACCGGCGAGGCACCGCCGGTCCTTCAGAAGCGCCCCGCTTCGCCACCCCCGCCCCAGGCACCCCACCGGGAACCCCGACGGTCCCCGCCCGGCCCGGCCCTCACCTGCATGTTCATGTAGCCGTCGACGGAGACGC